TGGCATGTGAGAGAAATTCTCGAGTTCTGCAACTTCTTTGGAATTTCCTTTATGGCTGTTTACTTTTTAGAGCTTAAAAGAAACTATATGTACACATGGAATTCTACTTATATGCAGTGGATGCTGTGATGGGTTTTGGACTCTGTTAGACTTGGATTTGAGTCAAAGCTCCTTTACTGACTTACATGACTCTAAGGTGAAATGTCTTCAGACTCTGCTGGAAGCCAAGCTATCCCAGCCTGAGTGTCAGGGCCCCAGCTGTGGACTCCCGCTTTAGGTAATTTGGCCTTAAAACTACCTGGGGTATTGTCTGTTGTGGAATTGCCCTCGGCAGGCCTCCTGGGAAAAGAACCATTAGGGAAGAAAATAAGGTTCCTCAAGAAATTGTGAGGCCTTACATTTAGCCCTTGCCATCCCCTATGGAGACTCCTCTACTTACAGGAAGGATAGCCTCATACATTTGCCAGCAAAGAGGGCCTGTAAAGGAGAGACATATGGATTTGAAAGCCTCACTCCGGCAACTAAGGAGTGTATCCCTGGGCACAGTTGACTTCAACCCCTAGGCCCACCTGGCCCCCCGGAGGCATTCCAGATGATGACTGAACCTAGTGGGTTGAGGTACAGAATGGTTCATTGGCTCCTAGGTGCATTGTCTCTCTGAGAATGTATGGGGCATGGGTTTCTAAGGCTTTTTCGGCCCCTCCTGGCACCTCGGACCGAGGCAAACACATTGTTCTTCTGGCCTCATGTGGTTAGGAGGTCATGTCCCTGTAACTGTTCCACTTGAGGTGTTGAGAAATGGAGGGCCTTTCACGAGAACAGCAAAGTGAATGCTTTGTAGATTATAGATAAACGCAGATGCATAATGGAATAATGTAAGAAATTAATCAATAATCCAAGGGCATGCAGGAAAGTTAGGGGAAAATCGCCATGTTATTTCTTAAAGGTTGTTTACACATAGGAACATTTTCAAAATTACGTGATGTTAGAAAAACATAGATGACGTATGCTACAAGGAAATGGCTAGCATATAGAACGCCACATTTACTGCAATAAATCGGCCAGTTCAACACACTGCTGTTGCCTGTGTCCATTTTTATTTTAGTTTTGTTTTATTTTCACCAACGCCGTTCTTCCTTCGGGAACCCCTGGACCTGCTGGAGCAGGACTCTGGCACTCACCCACAGGATAAGAGTATGTTTGGCAGCAATCGTATGCGTGTGTGCAGATGGATTTTTCTTTCATTAGCTGTGACCTTTTGGAAGTGAGCAAAGTTGGCTGTGGTGTAACTGTCCCTATTTTATCATGCAGCACCCCAGCCACCGCTTGCACAGCCCCAACCAGTAGGGGCTGGTTTGACTTCAAGCCTTTTCCACGAATCAACCACATTTGACAGAGCACATAGACCAGAAAAACCCTGAGAAAACAAAACACCAGCGCCCTCCTGCCCCCCACACTGTCCCCTGCACCACCGCCCTCCCCCTCTCTGCACCTGCCAGTGCAGAGCAGAGCCCGCAGGGCTGCCCAGGTCCGGTTGGGGAAGGGAGGGACTGAGGATTGGAAGCCACAGGGGGCACTGGCTAGGAGTGCCTGGCACTGAAATCAGCCCACACGGCTCTGGGTCATTTGCTAGTTTCCCCTTTGCCTTTGTGCTTTCCATATGCAGAAACAGTTCCAGATCAGTTCCAGATTTCTAGGTAGAGGCCCGGGTATTTGTCCTAAAGGGGTCTGATCAAAACCCGAGAATCAAGGAGTAGAAAATTAAATTTCCTCTTCCTTATATCTGATGGGTCTTGTGTTATTTCCCCTTGGGAACCTGTATTTGGATTCCAAAAGCAGCTGTTTCACAGAAACTGAAACTAATTATAAATAAACAAAAAAAAAATCCTTTCCAATTTTAAATGAGGCATTGTTTTCATTCTAACATATACAAGTTTTTACTTTAGGTGCATTCATTACCGAAAATAGAAAAACATTTATTTTTTTACCCACCTACCACATTGAACATTTTGTTGTACATCCATGCTTGTAGAAATACACACACATATATAAATGAGTGTCATACTTAGTGTGTGTGTGTGTACGTGCGTGTGTTCTCTATTATTTCTAAAGTAGAGCTGCCTGCAGTAGATGCTGTTGAACTTCCCAAATAAAAACTCATCACATCCACACAACTCCAGGAAACGTGTCAGTGTAAGTCCATTTTACAAATGACAACATTACAGCACGGAGTGTTCAAATAGCTATAGACCCAAAATTTATATCCGAGCACTTGAGGTTCAGAGTCCAAGCACTTAACCTCTCCACCACCCTACTTTTCCCGTGTTAGTGCAGCTGTCCTGGGGTTCCTATGACATCAGGAAACATGGCGTATGTGAGACACTGGTCTAGGTCTGACATACCCACCTGTCACGTGACATGTGATACTGTGGCCACCAGAGTGTCTTAAACCAAATGAGTCTGAATCTGCTAAGGAATAACCTGAGCCCTTCACTGACAGTGGCTCGCCTGGGGCTAGAGCCCCAAAGAAGGCATCACAAGGACTCTCTCAGGGAAAGAATTAGAAATGTGGAATTGGCCATGATTACAACCAATGCTGAATTTGAAGGCTCAGTTGTCATGCTGTTCCTTACCTTAGCCTCTCAGATTTCACCAAAGGAAAGAACACAGAGATAAAAGTACACTTTTGATTATTTTTATTATGCCTGTTATGAACAACAGAACAAAATTCAGGTAGCAAAGATGGCAGCTTCCAGAAATGTAAAACAAAAGGCCTCCAGGCAGTTATCTGCATACAGAGCCCCAGGGAAGCTGGGAAGCTGCACGCCAAGTGTACTCAGAGGCGAGGGTGCTGGGCGGCTGACCAGCTGGTGGGCAAGAAGGAGAGAGCGGTGCTGAAGCCCCCGTGGGTGCCCCCCGGCCCCGCCCCTGACTCATGGCAGAGTCTGTTCTTGGTGCAGAGTAACATTTCCTGTTTGCCCAGGAGTTTGCAAACCCATTCTGCAATGATGACACATAGAAAAAGACAACGTGTGAACTGAAATGAACCACCCAGAAAGAAAGCCCCGCTAGACCCACAGCAGACACTTTTAGTGACAACAGTCAATGGAGAAACATGGACCCTGTGCCACCACGGGTCAGGAACTCTTCCCATTGTCACAGAGTGCCGCTCTCCCAAGCAGACAGATGGCGGTGATGACGGTGTAGACCATGCTCTTGACGAGGAGGAGGAGGTAGGTGCAGTAGGCAGAGGTGTTCACCAGCTGCAGCTGCAGGGGGTCTAAAGGAAGCCATCGGTTAGTTTCACCTGTGTTTTTGAAAGGCGAGGACTTACATGAGAGAGGGGTTGACAGCATACATTTCAGATGACCTGGGTTGAAGTGACCACCCAACACCACCACAACCCGACATTAAACATCTACACCCCCATCAGCACTACCACCACCACCAGGACAATTCAGAATCCAGCTTGCAGGTCAACTCAATCACCAACCTCTGAGATGTTGACTTAGAACATTCCCACATATTCAAAGGAAGAGTCACATTTTTAATGAGCGAATCCAATGGAAAAGATCATTGGTGATAAAGAGCTCTTAGCACTTCCTCACCTCGACTATGTCTCGAAGTAAGAATAATTGCCAATGTCCATTGACCACAAACTCACCGCCACTTACTTGAGAGCTTCGCATGCAAAACTTTAATCTTACTTAATTGTCAATAACCTCTGAGATTATTATTTTCATTCCCATTTTAAAAATAAATTGAGGATATAGAAGTAATTGCCTAGTGTTCTATCATTAGTACCAGGAGCCAAATATCAAATCCAGGAACATGATGTTCAAGCACATATCCTCAGCTACTGTGTAATTCTGCATCACTTCACGTAATACCTATCCAAGATATCAAATGATTAAGTACAGATATAAAGCTGAATTGTTTATTTTGAAGGATCTCAGCCATTACATGTTGTGCATTCAGTGAGATTCCTAGCAATGGTACAAATCATGGAAATTTGGTGGTGTTCATGGCGGGGTGGGTGAGAGGTTTGTGTTAAGAGGGCATTACATAAAATGGAAGTAAGGGATTAATTCAATTTCTCTGCAACTTTAGGAGATCAAACTCATTCCCTTTTCTCCCTGAGTATCTATCATTCTAGCTATTATGTTATAGGACTATAGTATTTCATATCCTTCGAAGTGTAACAGGAAATACATGATGTCAGAAATAATTAATGACAATAATGATGGACCAGGCTGGCTACTCAATGAACCACAAGGCCAAGGCTTTATCTCCACAAAGTCAGAACCCCAAAATTATTAGCACTTGGTGTGAAAGGGACCTCAAGGGGTGATGCGATCAAAACTCCTTGCCCTTGGTCAGGTAATACGTTATATAAGGTCCAGAGGCCCCTTGATATTGGACTCGGAGGGCAGATCAGCAAGACTATAGCCAACGCTCCATGTCATTTTCTTACTTTCCACATATGTTGGAATAAAGGGCTAGAAACCAGTACTTACAATGTGTCCGTTAAATGAGATACCCAATGCTAGACATTCCACATATGTGCTCCTATGGCTTTGCTAACTCAGGCGTTATTTGTGTTATTCCTGGCTGGCTCAGCAAATGTAAGTAATGTGCCCATATTCATGCAACTAATAACGAAACAATTGGGGTGAAAATCCAGTCTGTGGCATCTCCAAAGGGTGCAGCCTGTCTCAAGGCCTTGGCTTTGGACTTAGAGGGAGAATAAAAATTGAGTTAGTATATGAACTCTGGATTCAGTTGTTCTGGGTTGCAGCTCCAGATCTCATTGTGTGGCATGGTGCAAGAGATTTCGTTAATTTTAGCTCATTGCCCTCAGGCGTAAAATGGGAATAAAATCTTCCATGGTGAGTATTAAGAATTAAACAAAAGGCACTCACAGTGCACGCAATGCCTTCTGAACGGGAACCTCTCAGTGTCAGTTCATTCATTAACTATGAGCAAGAACAAAGGCTTAAAAAAAACTCCAGAAGCAACTCGATATCATGTTTTCCATAGTCAGTAGAAACAAAGGCCACAGAAGTGAATGAAGTCCATTGCTGAAAGACTTCAGAGGCCCTTGCTGCACCCCTACTTTATGGTCCTTTCATTCCCAAAACTGCATTTACTGTGTGAAGATGATCCCCAGGAAATGATGGATTGACTTAAATTATCACTCAGTCTATTTTGGAAGATCCAACCATTGTGAGGTTTCTATCTGAAGTCAGGGAAGTTTAAAAGTTAACCTGAGGAGCGCCTGGGTGGCTCAGTCGGTTAAGCGTCCGACTTCAGCTCAGGTCATGATCTCACGGTCCGTGAGTTCGAGCCCCGCGTCGGGCTCTGGGCTGATGGCTCAGAGCCTGGAGCCTGCTTCCGATTCTGTGTCTCCCTCTCTCTCTGCCTCTCCCCCGTTCATGCTCTGTCTCTCTCTGTCTCAAAAATAAATAAACGTTAAAAAAAAAAAAGTTAACCTGATTGTGAGGGAAAAAATGCTATAGCATAACATAAAGGCAAGCATATAGACAAACTTACCATTTTTGTCTTTCAAAGAAGATTCTGTAGAGTTAACAGCAGTGAGCTCTGCAAGAAATAATAGCAAATATTATTTGATTGTTCATATCCATTAATTGGCACGTGGCTGTGTTGTGGATGGATGGATAGGTACATACGTACATACATACATAGATGACAGATAGAATTTGTCATCAGAGAAGAAAGAGTTATTATAAATATGAGCCCACAATTACAGAAAGGGTTGGTCTGATTCTACGTAGTTCAGTAGATCAATTCATACATTGTATTTCTGCACATGGAGATGTTGAAGTTCTTGAATGATGAATGGTTTTTTTCTCACAACTAGCAGGTAATGTTTGAGACTGTCTTGTTTTCCTTCTGTGCTCATAGCTCTTAGCACAGAGTCTGCTGTGATGCAGGTGCTCTATAAATACTTGTTGGATGGAGAAATAACCAGAAGCAGTGGCTGTCATACAGTCCTCGGCACCCACTGCTGACCTGAAGGGTTGCTACCAAAATAAATGCGTCCGACCCTAGGATCCACAGCAGAATCTTACATGTTGGAAGGAGTCTGTTCTAGGTAAATTTTCCATCAAGCAAAGAAATCAGTCCTACCTTTCAAGTCACACACGCCCCACAATGCCCAACTCCCGCATATCATTTTGTGGAGTGGTTGTGCTTGTGGACATGTCAATAATCCTGATGAAAACCAGTTCCTATTGAGTGATTATTACTGTGCCAGACACTTATGCCAAAGGTTCATGTGCATTATCTCATCTGATCCCCCAGTGCCAGTGATGTGAACTGAATTTGGAGGACTCCATGTTACACACAAGGAAATAAGGTTTAGAGGGTTTAAATAACTTATGGAGAGTTGTGCCAGTGATGGGCAGAGCCAGCACTCAGGGATGGTTGTGGGGGGTTAGATGAGTTACAGCATGTGGGAAGTGCCTTGTAAAACAGTCCATAGAAATAGAACATAACTGCACCATTGTGGACTCTTAGACATCATCCCTTCCAGATATCTGAAAAGCTCAGCACCTCAGTGCAAAGATAGAATGACAGGTCAAGTCACATTGATAGCCATCTGAATATAAATTTTTTTTTTTCAACGTTTATTTATTTTTGGGACAGAGAGAGACAGAGCATGAATGGGGGAGGGGCAGAGAGAGAGGGAGACACAGAATCGGAAACAGGCTCCAGGCTCTGAGCCATCAGCCCAGAGCCCGACGCGGGGCTCGAACTCACAGAGCGCGAGATCATGACCTGGCTGAAGTCGGACGCTTAACCGACTGCGCCACCCAGGCGCCCCAGCCATCTGAATATATAAAACGTGAGGTGACAGTTGTATTTCTCTATAGTGTTTTAAAAAAAAAAAGCACGACATACATACAAAGACAAAATTCCTTAAAAAGATCATTGACAATTGCATGCAGAAAGAGAGAGGTGAAAGATAATTTTGGTTGATTCTTTTTCTGTTCTGGTGAGCGTAATCTTATTTTGGTGCACTATTTAAAAAATGGGTTTAGGGCATAGGTTTTTGGGTAAATCTCAAGAAGGAACATGTTAGTATAAAGCTGTTAAATGTTAAAAGATCTTCAAGAGCTGACTTTAAAGTTCTTAAAGATCTCTTTCTTTCCCATACAGTGACTTTATATTGAAACTAATATAGCCTGTAAGTGTATCAACTAACTGCAATTAAAATAAAAACTTTAAAAAAGATCAATAAAAATCTCTTATCATCATGCATTGATCAACATAAAGTCATGTGGGTAACAATTTTCATAATAAAATTTGTGTGTGTCCTAGGTGCTCTTTCTTAATTGTGGTTGGTTAAAAACATGGACAAGATGAGTTTTATCTGCCTTTGGAATCACTCCATTGTTTTGTTCTTTCATGTATGTGTATCATAAACACACACACACACACACACACACACACACACACAAGCTTTTTCCAAAAACAACAACAACAAACCAAAAACTTCCAAGAAACAGCACTAGAAATCTGCTGCAGAATTACATTAACAGAAATGCCCCATTAGCTTTGTGGTCATGAGAAGACGCTGGGAAACATTCATTTCAGAAATAAGTGCCAAGTAAGACACATCATAAAACAGGAACTTCTCCCTCATCATACACATCACCATGGAACTTACTATACCTTTTACTTTTCTCCAATCACTAGAGAAATCAAAACTGAAGAGGATACTTCAGCCCAATGGTCACATTAAATTTATGCTGTGCTCATTTGCTTCTTTTCTGTTTCTTAGCTACAGAGCTAAAAAATTAGGGCTGCCTGTGTGATCTTGTTTTAGTTAGTTATAAGGAAGGACATAAATAAATACAATAAGTATATGAAAAAATTCATCCGTGGGGCACCTGGGTGGCTCAGTCGGTTAAGTGTCTGACTTTGGCTCAGGTCAAGACCTCATGGTTGGTGGATTCGAGCCCCGCGCCGGGCTCTCTGCTGTCAGCATGGAGCCTGCTTCTGATCATCTGTCCCCCTCTCTCTCTGCACTCTCCACCCCATCAAAATAAATAAATATACCTAAAAATGTTTAATAAAAAACAAAAAGTAAAAAAAATTAATCCATGTTATGCTTTCAAGATCAAGCGTTGTTAGTGGCATAATTTCATGTGCTCTCATCATAGTCCAGCTGAAAGCGAAGGTAATGTGTGGCCCTAATTTGATCATTGGACACACTAATAATCTGTGAAATCACAAAAATTCATTCGAGTAAATTTTAAAGATCTGATTGATCTATTCACGAATCGGGCAATATCTCATCTGGCAAGTAGAGAGGGGCTCCAAAGAGGCACAGAAATGGGGAGATTTTTAAAGATAGGGAATGAAAAAGGTTATTAGCAAAGAACATTATTATTGCAAGGTCACTCTCATAAGGGGAATGGAGAGGGTAGATCAGGAAACTCCCTAGTGCTGACCAGGAAATGCCCATGTTCGCTGATTCAAGGCTACAGTTCTGGGGGTTGAAACTGCAGCTAGGCAGGGATGAAGTCTTGGTTTACTGGTTTGGGGTCTTAAGCTGAGTGAGGCCATTTTGAGCCTGTGGTTTTCTTTTTAACAGCCCTGCCTTTTGCTCAGACTCCCGGTTTAACTTAGAGAGACACACTTGAAGGCATTAACAGCACTCAGCAACCTCTCTGAAGTTTTCACAGTTTGTGTGTTCACTCTTCTGATATTCACAGGTCTTGACCTTTTGGCCTGTGAATGTTCAGAGGTTACCGCTTCAGCTCTACAGTGTTTGAGTTGGTCATTCTGTTCTCTTGATTTCTTTTCTTTTGACATTCCAATCTTAGAGACATCATTAGTTTGCAGGTAACCGGCTCTGAACTTGCATTTAAAGCTTTTGAGAGAACCACCAGGCAGCTTATTGTAATTACAAAATACAGGATAATTCCTCATGTTTGGAGTAGTTTGAAGGGATAGTTCCCAAGACTCAAAGCAATGAAAATCAAGTAACTCTTTGAAGCCAAGAGGCTTGCTCAGTGACCTGATGTTGTTGAGTTTTAACTTCCCCAGACCTGTTAATTGGGGTATAGCAGGTGGTCTTGGTTAGAGGAGAGACCCAGCCTTGCTCAGCTAAGAGATAATCAAGGTCTATCTTATTTTCAGGAAGTACTTTTGCGCCAGAGTCTAAGGATTTTTGTTGGGCAGCCATTACTTTAGTAAGAGGTTATGCAACAAATTCAAGAATGAAGGAGAAGGTCCTGAACATACCTCATTTACAATTTATCCTTAACCAGGGAAGTAGGGCCCCTCCAAAGGAGGGAATCCTGGATCATGGAAGCTTCCTGGGAAGTCCCTTCTAACTCAGGATGTAAACTGAGGGAAGTCAACCAATGAGAGGTCTTCTTTAGCTTGAGTAAAGCTAAGACCAGTTACCTTTACTGCTAGTCTGAAATAGAAGTTTCCTCTAAAGTCCAGAGTTTACCCTTGCTAGCAATTACCTGGGAGAAACAAATGAGGGTCATTGCCAGAGCAAAGGAAAAGAGAAGAGGAAGAAAGAGTTTCACATTTGATGAAAGTATGAAGGGTGATATTTCTTAAATCTTTGTTTATTTTTGAGAGAGAGAGAGACCACAAGTGAGGGAAGGTCAGAGAAAGAGGGAGTGGGAGAATCCCAAGCAGGCTCTACACTGTCAGTGCAGAGCCGGGGAGGGGCTCAATCTCAGGAACCTTGAGACCATGGCCTGAGCCCAAATCAGGAATTGGACAGTTAACCAACTGAGCCATCCAGGCGCCCTAAAAAATTCTTCCTTCCAGTCTTAATCGATCCTGACCCCGCATAACATTCCTTTCCAAACATCCCCTTTTACAACTTCTCTTTTACATTCAGGCTTTTTCTTGAGTTTGCATCTTCAGATAACCAGGCTTGCCTAGGAAAAAAATCTTTTTTTCCCTCCCTCAAAAACATATTTCCATTTCTCATACTTTTTCTTATTAAAAAGACACATCTTACTTTCCTTGCACTCCAGGTTGTTTCCCTTATTATTTCCAGTAGTCTGAATTACATTTATTAAAATTCTGTTCTTTTAGAAACTTCATTTTTAATGAAAGTTAATAAGCAAGCAATTGTTGGGGAGCCCGGGTGGCTCAGTCGGTTAAGCGTCTGACTTCCTCCCAGGTCATGACCCTGTGCTTCATGGGTTTGAGCCCAGCGTCAGGCTCTGTGCTGACATCTCAAACCTCGGAGCCTGGAGCCTGCTTCAGATTCTGTGTCTCCCTCACTCTCTGCCCCTCCCCTGCTTGCACTCTGTCTGTCTCTAAAAAATAAATAAATATTTAAATCTTTTTAAATAAAATAAGCCAGCAGTTGTGATCTGTTACACCAGCATTTCTTAGATTGGTAAATTTATGGATACATTTCAAAAAGTCTAGAAACATGTGCATCATCATAAAACAATCTTTCAGTAAGTCACAAAATACATTTCTGAATAAGCCCAAGTTATCTTCAGTTTCTCTGCAATACCAAAACCAAAAGTAGGTAAACCTATGTTCATTAACTAACAAGTGAGTGTTTTATTTTACTTGGAAATGATCTAGATATTTAATGAATATAATCTAATTTAATACTTGACTTAACTCAGCAGAACTTTAAGGATTTAGGTCACCAAAAAGATTTGGGAGACTGTTTAAAACATTATCTTAAAAGAGTTATTTTATTTACATCTTTCAATTTACTTGTTCATGAAGTTGAGCTGAAATTACCCATAAAAATTTTATGAGACGTGGGGAGGGATGGGTTAAATAGGTGATGGGAATAAGGAGTGCCCTCGTCCCGATGAGCACAGGGTGATGTATGAGGTGCTGAATCACTAGATTGTACATCTGAAACTAATAGAACCCTGCCTGTTAACTACACTGGAATTAAAATTAAAACTCAAAAAGAAAAATGTTAGGAAATATCAAAATCCATCATTATCCCAAGCTATTTTCTTTAAGATTTTAAAGAGACCACATCTACTTATTTGACTTTTAGTAAATCCATGCATGTGAAAGTTTTAATTTTAGTGCTAATAACTCTAAAAAATATGTCTATTTTATTTAAAACAACAACCAAATAATTGCCCAGATCATGTGAAGTTGAAACACACATTGGTTAGTTTCTATCATTCTGAGAGGTTTAGAATGCTCAATCCTTGCAAGTGCTTGCCTTCAAACCAAGGAAATGGAGCTCTTTGCAAACTAATTTTGACAATGTCTCCAGAGGGAAAAATATCTCACATTGACGATGTGTATTTGTGGACACACAGATCGCTGCAAAGACCCTTGAGTCAGTGATGTTTATGGAGACATTTATGGACAAAGTGTTAAGATTTATATGTGTCCCTGGGATTATGAAGGACACCGAGCCAGGGTTTAGGCACAGGAGGCCTTTAGCAGTTTGTATTTTAAAAAGGTCTCTTTTCCTTTGTTTCTCTCAGTCCTGGGCGCTTGTGGCCTGTGTTTACATGTCAAAAGTGTGATAAGATTGATCACTTTAAGGGTGAAGAAAGAATGCAAGTTCCTCCAAGAAAGACTTTCTTTTCCAAAAGCCAACCATCTATAAGCCCTTTTCCAGAACTACGAGAAGTGTGGGGGTGGGTGAAGGAACAGGGGCACTCTGGATTGACCCAAGAGCTGCATTTCTGGTTCTGTTCTCATTTGTCAGTCCAGCTGGTCTCAGTGTCTCAAATACTTGGATTTACGTGAAATGACATCAAAGTTTGATCCAAGTATGTGCCTCAATTGGCTTCCTTCCCTCTGAGTGCATACTTTACATTTTAAGTATTTCTGGCATATGGAATAACCCCCTTGGGTGTAAGATGGGTCCCCAGAGAGGGTGCAGAGAATATTGCCCTCCCCAGATCCAGGGTCACCCACAGTCACAGCCAAAGGAAGAAACCCATAAGCCACACGTCCCAGGCAGGCAGAGAGCTAAGAGCAGTGATTCAGGATGACGCCAGCAAGGAGGCAACGGCTGTCTCTGGGAGAGGAAGGATCCATAAGCAATGGGTGTGGATTTGGAAAGGGTGGGACAACAGGAAATTTTGTTATCCTCTCCGGACCAGGCATTGTGGGCAGAGATTTAGAAGAAGTGGATTCTCCTTCGAGTCTCCACCCTTGGATGGCTTCTGCCAGTTTTTGCAGGACCCCTTCTGTTGGCCACAGTATTTACCAGAAATCACTTAACTGTTTAAGGAAATAATGTAGCAGTTTCCAGAAGAGCCCTCAGTTTCATCAACTCTGGGTGGGGCTCATGTGGAGTTCTTCCTATGAAGGTACATACGGGGGTGTCTGTAAGGCCGTTGACTTGGCTGACTTCTGTTTATAGCTGTGGAGTCTTTTCACAGTGAGAAACATTTCACACTGGAGTGAGGGCCCAAAGAGCAAGGAGGGAAGTGGGGGGGGAGTTACGTGAGTCTTACAGTTTTGTTGTTATAGCTACCTGTTCCATCTTTAATTTTCACTAGGCTTTTGCAATGAATGTTTCAAGGAAACTACCTTGGAATTTAAACCTTCTGGAGGCTTCTGCTTATTAATTAATGGAAGTGTCCTCCTTAATTTGAGAACACTTGCTTTTATTTTTTTTTTTTTTAATTTTTTTTTTTCAACGTTTATTTATTTTTGGGACAGAGAGAGACAGAGCATGAACGGGGGAGGGGCAGAGAGAGAGGGAGACACAGAATCGGAAACAGGCTCCAGGCTCTGAGCCATCAGCCCAGAGCCCGACGCGGGGCTCGAACTCACGGACCGCGAGATCGTGACCTGGCTGAAGTCGGACGCTTAACCAACTGCGCCACCCAGGCGCCCCGAGAACACTTGCTTTTAAACACACTTCTTAAATAATCTTATCTAGTTGGAAAGTTCCCCATGATGTCTATTGTATTTCTAGGTCGTAATTGCTCTGGGGGCTGGAAACAGATCTGTGGGATCCTAGCCTCAAATTAAGTGAACACACCCTTTTGTTTAGCCATATGTAGCCGCAAATGAGGTGTAGCCATATTTCTGTTTGGTCTCCTTTGGGGGTCACCAAACCCAGTTACAAAGCCAGTTTCTCAGGACACAAAGCAAGCTTCCTAAGATTTTGCCATGTTTGATAGGTATCTGTCACTTCTGGGACTATGGTTCTTAGACGTAAAATAAGCAGGTGTAATGGAGGGTGGTGTACTTGATTCTTTAGAATTAAGGATCCCATAAGCTCAGACTGGGGGCTTCTCGGACCCGAACTAATACATAAAATGGATGTGTCTTCAGATGGGGACAGTGCATGATTGAGAGTGTAGCTCCTTGCAGGGACGTTTTCTCAGTTTGGTGAGTTACTTAGTGCCAACTGAGCCCTTTCCCTGACCAAGTTACACTATCAAGGGAGTGTTCTTGGGATGATGAGCATTCTAACAGTCTTTAAGTGCCTGACTCATGCCCGCCAATTTTGTGGGTTTTTCTGCATCTGAGATCCTTGTGAGCAGTAGCCTTTATCTACACAAAACCAGACAAACAATTATGTGCACCTTAGGGTGTGGGCTGTAAGCAAGGAATGATACTGCGTTCTGGCCAGAATAATGCTCTGTGTGTGGCACCAATTCTCCTGGAGGCTCACTGAGGTTTCCACCTGGGGAGCTGTGGTCTGATGGGTTAGGGGCTTAGCTCCTGGCAGATCCTTCTGCCACTTTAGTTGGGCTCCAGACAAATGTGCCAGCCCAAGGTGACCTGCCCCAGAAAGGAAGCCCAGTGCGATCAGGAACTCACCCGCGGCACTTGAAAATGGTGATGCAGACAGTGTACTCGAAGGGCTCACGGTTACCGGCCTTGTGTTTCTACTTGTCTCTGATTCCTTCTGGAAGCCCACTTTGGATCCCGTCACCAAATCTGCTAAATAACAAACATTCAACCAAGTAAATATTAAAGATCTAATGGCTGTTTTAATCAAGTGAATTATGAGTCTGGCAACATCCCACCTAGCAAGTAGAGGGGACCTCCAAAGGGTTATAGAGAAGGAAAGGTTTCTAACAATAGAAGGGGAGTGCAGAAAAGGGGGACAGAAGGAGTCAATCCATGAACTTAATAGTGTTGACCAGGAAATTCCCATGTCAACTGGTTATAGGTTACTGTTCTGGGGGTTGAAATTGCACTTGGGCTAGGTATTAAATCTTGCTTGAGTGACTTGAGGCTTTAAGCTACGTGTTGCCACTATGGGTCTATGGTTTTCTTCTTACCAGACCCAAAAAGATGAAGACTGATGTCAGAAATTGAGACTTGTATACAGAAAGCTCTTCACATGTCCTGTTATGTGCTTGTTCCCCACTGCTTGCGAGGGGCTTGATAACCCCCGGGAAGAGTATGAACTGGTTCCTTCTTAGGGGCCCTCTGGGGCCCTGGTCTGGCATGTCCATGCTCAGGACTTGACTTCTGAGTCTAGAGAGTTACTGGGACACAGTGGGGCCAGAGCACATTCAGCTCTGCCCACACTGTCTAAATACGTGCAGCGTCTACACCAATGGGCTCCTTTGGGACACTGTGCCTGAATCACGGGTGACAGGAGCGAGAGGAAAAGGATATTTGCCCTACTGTAGTGATGCTCCTGGGGACAGTGGTCCCTCCTGCATCCCCTCCAGGCCTGGCGCACGCTCGGACGGCAGGAAGTGTTTGCTGGGCAGCATTTACTAATGGTAAGAAATGTTCATTATGTACAATGGAAGCACGTGTGCATGTGTAAGCTTCACTCAGTCTTCACTTACCAAATTTCACCTTACAGTGGTAGAGAAAAGTCAATGTGAAAACACCAAAACTGTACTAAAACGTCAGTGACCAAAGTACCACTTTTTGTTGAGCTGTGATCTGCCTCCCTCAAATGAACAACAATTTGGTTGCCTAGAACTCATTTGTTATGGCTTATGTTTGAGCAGAGCAAGATTGAAGTGAGAGGGACTTTGACTGCTGAGTAGAATATTCCTGAAGGATGGGCAATTGTTTTTATTTCCTGATCAAGTAAAATCATCAAAAGTGGATTCTCTTTTTGAGCATTTATTGGATACAAGGCTGCTAGGTGCTTTCACGTGTACTGTTTCATTTCACCCATACGGTGACCCTCAGAAACATCATAATGACCTCCATGTTTTGGATGATGAAACTGAGGCGAGAAAGGCTAAGTGAATTTTTCTTTTTCTGTTTCTTTGTATGTTCCAAAGCCCATACTATTTTAATTCTATGGGGAAATAGCAGGACAGTTATGGTACCATTAAAGGCAACAACATTAAGGAAAGATTTCTATTTGCTTCTTTTCCATCAATTCTTGACAGAAAAGGTGGTGTATTCCATCGGGGAAAAATAGGGTTCTGGGAGGTTATATTCATGTGTACATGCACATACCTGTGTTTATTGAAGGAAAAAGAATCTCTTGATCAACCCCTCCTTTATTCTTCTGGTGTTTGACGATACATTTGTGTTCTTTACCCATTGAGTCTTCTCTCACGGTCAGCCAGGTGTATTTCATGTATGTGTCCTTAGTCTTCATGGTGTCTCCCTGCTGGGATTTCAATATTACTCTGCCATTTTTCTCTTTCCAATCTATATTGATAACATCAGGGAAAAAATCCTCAAGAAGACAAAGATACGTTCCAGCCTTGTGGAGTTTTCTTTCAGCAATTGAAGGAAGAAAAATCGTGGGCTTGGGGGAAGTGTCTTCATCAGGGCTTTTAGCTGTGGGAGAAATTGGAATGGCAGTTAGAACTATTATGAGAGAAACACAAACATTGTATGGTTTGGAACCACCTAACACAAAAAAAAAAGGAAGGAAAAGTTGCCATGGTGTTAGTGCTTACCAGGGCCTTTTGTCCACACTGGGGTTATGAAATGCTTGTTTTCTTAGTTTCCATGGGAAAAGGGGTTCAAGCAGTTATGAAACTTGCCAACGTCACAGCTATTAAGTGGCAGAGTCCAGATTAAAACATGTAATTTTGTGGAGCACCTGGGTGGCTCAGTCCTTTATGTGTTTAGCTCTTGATTTTGTCTCAGGTCATGATCTCATGGTTTGTGAGTTCAAGCCCCGCATCGAGTTCTGTGCTGACAGTGTGGAGCCTGCTTGCTCTCTCTCTCTCTCTCAAAATAAATAAATAAACTTACAAAAAAAAAGTTTTAAAACATGGAATTTTGTTAAACAATACAGAGTCACTTGTTTGAGTGTGAATTATTTCCAGGCATACTTGACAATCTATTAAGTTGAGCTTTTAGCTTCAAATAAGAATCCCATGCCCACCTCTGACACTGGAGTTCTTCTTGGTTTCTGAATTTTAGAACATTTTGCTCTCACATCTGAGCCACACCAGGATTTTGAGCAGGACAATGTTTAAAGCTGCACCGCCAAATTATTTACAATGCCTTGAATTTAGAAGCAATGTGGCAATATTTCCAAAACTTCTATATAAAAAAAACTTACTGATTATTCTCAGAAATTCTCTTATATTAACCTTATCAAATAATGCACTGGTCACAATTTTGTTTTGCTTTAGGAAATATTCACGGAAAGCACACTTTATATTGGAATTTCATTAGAAGTTGACACATGACTAAAAAGACACCATACTTCAATGCTTAGCATCTCCCCCCAAATTTGGATCTGCCCTACAAGCCTGCTGAACTTGTCGTACCCACAAGTTTCTTTGTTTTTACCTGCTCAATAATGTTATATGTAACTGCTGTAATGTTGATAGTTATGGTTCCAGAGTTTCTTGTAGACATAATGTCAAAACATATAAAAAAAAAACATCATGGGTTTCAAAGGCCTGTCACTTGAATGCTGGAATGTTACCTAATTATACATTTAATGTTAATGTAGTGATTGAAATTATAAATAGTAGAACCCTTTCCAATTTGATTTCCAACTGAAACACTAATTATTTACTCATTTTCTTTTTGGGCTATTTTGGATTTGGAATAATAATTGTATGGGCATTTTCTTAAGCGTAATTGGATTTCTGGATTTCTTCTTTGAGAAGAAAAGAAAAAAAAAATCTTGAGAATTTCTGTCTGTGCCACAAAGTTCCTGAGTTCTATACTAAATCAGTAAGCAAGCAATGATGAGATTTTACTCATGCGGTAAATAAAATTAGCTCATAGTGTGGTTGTTTTAATTTTGTACATCTTGCTTGTAGGAAGAAATAGTATTTCATTGGCTATAATAGTAAAGCTCTGCATACTTCTCCAACCATATACTTTGTTTTTATTTTAAAAAGCATATGATGTGAAAAAAGTTTAATTTTAAAATTTTACGTGACGTTTACTTCATTTTAGCCACCATTTAATACATTAAAGATCTAGTTTTCATGTTAGGAAATTTGATTTTCTTATAGAAATACTTCTGGTTCATCACAGTAAAGGAAATTTCTTGATGGTGAGACATGATGTTTACCTCCTGTCCCTTTTCCTCAGCTAGATTCTGGAAGTTTCATTCTTTTCCAGATAGAAGGAATCTTGAACTCTCATAACTTTCTCAGTGTGATAGTTAACTGAGCATTAATAGTGTACTTGATCGTATACGGTTAGTGTTTGTCTTTAGGGTAATTATTTTACATGTTTTTTTTTTCTTTCAACATTCTTTTTAAAATTTATTAACAGTGTTTTTTATGGCCACAATCATTTTCATTATGCATAAAATAGAAACCTGTTTACACAATAAATAAACTTGTTTGATACCCTTATATAAGAAAAAGAATTTGAGGTTAATTGCCTGAGTTTTATAATTTTATGATGATGAAGCTGTATGAATTCTATATAAATTTATCAAATGTCAACCACAATATTTATAAGTGTGACATTTCAAAGTTGCCTATTGACATTGATTGAAAGTTTCTCTATTTTATTCTCATTTTACTTTTATTAAAAATAAACTATAAGTATTTCATATATAAATATGAATTTCAAATTAACGACATTTCTAAGTATATTTAAAAGTACTAACTACATCTCTATGTTTCTAAGTACATTCTAACTGTATATTTTTTTATTTTTTATTTTTTTTGATAGAGAGAGACAGAGCACAAGTGGGGGAGGGGAAGAGAGAGACAGAGACACAGAATCTGGAACAGGCTCCAGGCTCTGAGCTGTCAGCACAGAGTCTGACGTGGGGCTGGAACTCACAAACCGCAAGATCATGACCTGAGCCGAAGTCAGGTGCTTAACCAACTGAGCCACCCAGGCGCCCCACATTCTAACTATATTTTAGACATGTAATTGTGTTTCTACTAAATACAAGCATGAAGCCCAAATTTGTTCCTGTTAGAGTTTCTATCAATTATGATCAGGGATTAAGGTTTAAAGTACTTAGAACTACAAAGATTAAAAAAAACACATTTTCATTTCATTTTTGTTGCCAAGTAAGGGAAGAAAAGTCCATTAAACAGAAGCAAATACCTCTAAATTCAAGTTTTTTGTGTATCCGTGGACAGCAAGGGAACTTCCCATTGGAACAGTTACAAGTACAGCTGACTCCTCTGGAGAATTTCTGCTCTGTCAGTAGGATCGGCTACAGACCACCCTCCATAGTGGATACAATTCTCCCTTTAGGTTCGAAATGGGGCAACCTCCATCCAGCACCCATTTTGTGTAAGACAACGTGCCAAGTACTTTATTCACAATGTCTCATTTAATTCTGGTCTACTCTTTCTGAATACATACTGTTACCCCATCTTATGGATTAGGAAATGGAGGCCAGAGAATAATTAATTACCCAAGTTCACATAAACAGTAAGTGGTGGAGCCAGAGCTCCAGGTCAGCCTGAGCCCAAAGCCCAGGCTCTCTGACCACACCCTTTCACCATCCGAAAAGGAAATGTGTCAACTGAGAAAACTTACCTGTCGTGATCAACTTGTTCTCAGACCAAACCCTTTCGTGACAATTACAGATTGCCCATGAGTACTTTTTTTTTGCTCTAAAGTATACATTTTAGATGCATGTGAAGAGTCTGAACAAAATTTTTAATGAATATAAGGGCAAAAGAAGGAGTATTTCTCAACTGATATTCATAATGATATCGTTTTTAATTTGTAAGTATAATCTAATAAAGATATAAAACATTATCAATGAATATTTGACCTTATAACTATATCATAATAAGTTTATATATTCAAGTTGCAAGACCATCCCACTTTTTTTACATACAGGCATTTCTACTGAAAAATGAGAAATCATCTCATAGTCAGGCTAACAATATTTGAGGGAATGCTTACAACATTCTAATCATTTACAAACTGGTAACAATGAGTCTTAGAATTAAAAGTATTCCGGGGCGCCTGGGTGGCTCAGTCGGTTAAGCGGCCGACTTCGGCTCAGGTCACGATCTCACAGTCCGTGAGTTCGAGCCCCGTGTCGGGCTCTGTGCTGACCGCTCAGAGCCTGGAGCCTGTTCCAGATTCTGTGTCTCCCTCTGTCTCTGACCCTCCCCCGTTCATGCTCTGTCTCTGTCTCAAAAATAAATAAACGTTAAAAAAATTAAAAAAAAAAAAAGAATTAAAAGTATTCTGCAAATCTGACCATTTGGTCTAAAGTGATCTGCAGACTACATGGTAATTAATACATTTTTCTGTACTCTTGTTTTAATAAAGAACTCCAGTGGGTGGTAATCTGAATTCTGAAGAAGTGTTATTTCTGATGGCTGACCATGTCCCAACCCTTGTGGTAGTCATTTCCATATTTAATTTCATTTAGTCCTTGTAACATTTAGTCCTTGAGATGGTTCTTACACTGACAGAATGAATAGGTGGGAATTTAGCAAATATTAACCGTAGTGTCCCTATAAATTTTTAACTTTTTCTTTATTCTTTCTCTTTTCCAGTTTTTTTTCCATAATGCACATGTATTATTTTTATAATTTTAAGAAAGCAATAACCAGTGAATCAAAAATTACTTGCTAAAGGATGATTATACACAACATGATAGATTCAGATTCAAAGTTCACATTTTTCTCTGCACCACGGTCTCTTAACATATTTTTCAGAACCTCCTGATTATATCTCTGTCATCAGTATCTAACTGGATTGCTAGAATTTACATGGGGGTATGTAGTCACTTGGAAAAAAAGAGAACCAGAAACTTGCTTCACAATTTATGAATTCACTTGTATCTGTGATCACAACCACCAAGGGAAGCAAAATATATAATTTCTTTTATTTTTCCAATGTTTTACCAGCATTGTGAAAATTCTTGGGAAATTGTATTTGATTAGATCTGCTAAGCTAGAAACCTCCCCGTGAGATGTTCTCCCTCATCCAGGCAAAATTGCATCTCTAAGACTAATGAAGAATGAACGCATTTACTAGTCTGAATTTAGAAAAAACAAACTCAGCTTATGACCTTCTTGAATATGTCTGCACAGTTAAACGTGTCCATACCTGATATGAATCACCTTGTGACAAAAGGACAAGTTAAGTAATTTTTTGTTCTTTCTTTTCCACTGGTATTTTTGGAATCAAATAAATAAAATATAAAGTTTTTTAATAAACCTCTCAGCACAAAAATCTCACAGGGACCTAACATCCCCACCCTTCAAGGACCCCCACTTGCTCCAGCAAGTTAGCTTCTTGTCAGTGTCGCCCATACAAGCTCAGGCGGCAACTACCCCCAAGGACTGGGACACAGTCACTTACCTCTCCAAGGATCCCGCTGCCATTTGTGACCAAACTGGGACTGAATCCTAGAATTCTGAGCCGGCACCAGCACCTAGCCTGCCGCCCCTGCATCCCCTGCCTCCCCTCCCTACATTATACGGAAGAATGAAAGAATATTTACCTGTGACCCTGAGCAGCGTGCCAGAACCGAACACTTTGTGGGCCCAGCCATACCCAGCCCACTGTCTGAAAAGCTTTTACAGAAATCTCCCTTTGTGCCCCTTTTAAACTGAGCCCATATTTTTCAGTATTTAAATAAATATGTAAAAACAGGCCCTGCTAACATTAAACAAAGATGAATCTCAAGCCAAATCACATTAGATATGAACGCAGTCAAGAATGGATGAACTGACCCCTTTCTGCC